AATTAGAATTAAAAAATAATAAAATAAATAGTCAACTCTAGTCAATATATGAGTGTCGTGAAGTTATGATATTTAAGAACATAAAAAATTAACGATGACACGGTTTCTAACTATATGAAGCTGATTTCGACATTTTGTTTGCTAGTTACTTGCCTAGGAATGTGAGGTTGATAGCACACCTTTTGCTATGTTATAATGGTTATTTCAAAACCTTTTTTCAAAACTTAAAAAAGCAAAAACGAGAGGGCGAATACAGAAAGATAAAACGAATTCCCGCACTGAATTTTCAGAGCTACGTATATATTTATAGTATTCGTCACAAAATTGTACTAAAAAGTACTGCGTAGTAATCGAAATTGTATCAAAAAAGTACAATTGTACCAGAAATGCCAACACTGATGTAGAACTAAGCAGAACACAAATATTAAACTCACTGAAATTATTTTCAGCCTCTCACTCGACCAAATGAGTAAAATCCAGCTGGGACTATACTCGATAGAGACAAAAATTGCCGCCACAAATAAGAGTTAGTATATTTTGAGTGTGTTCTTGTTTTGGTGGAAATTACTCTTAGTAATTTTTTGAATTGGTGTAAGTGCTCATTTGCACTAATTTTTATGGATCATGAATAAGTATACTAATTTTATTAGTACTCAAAGCCGGTCTCTGGTATATACATATGTTCGTATGTACGTTTGCATATGGATGTATATATGAGAATACGTATGTAGTTTTATGTATATCAATACACTTTACCAATTTTCGACATATAAACCACCTTGTATCGGATTTCCATCAGCGATACACACTGTGATCGGTTCCGGTTCTGGACGCGGGAGTGTCATCAGCGACATCTTGCGGCTTTTATCTGGGTTCTGAACTGGGGTTTCAATCGGCGACATCTTTTGGCGGAGCTGCAAAGCTTGCGGCGGAGCAGCAGCAAACCTTATAGCGGTTCTGGAACCGGAGCAGCAACGCAACGCCAAGGTTGTATGTAAACGGGCCTTTATTAACTCAAAATTGATATTTACAATGATTTTTGGACGAAAAATAGCAGTATTATAAAATTTGGGACGCTAATTTACTCAAAATTGATACTAACAACAATACCTTGAAAAGAAGTAAATTATTTGGAATATGACTATATAAGTTTATCTCACTTTGACTAACTGAACGTTCTATCGAAGATGTTTGCAATAGGGTTATGGAAAGGTAAAAAAACTACATATATTTAATACTTGCGCCATAGACTTTCTTACTCGTTTATTTTTGCGTTATCCTGTTTTTTAAATATTTAATATAGTCTGTAAGCACATTGTTTATTGATTAATGAATTAAATTAAATTAAATAATCTGTAGAAATTTAACCAATAAAACAGTCTGGCATAAGCTGTTGCCGAGGCATGTTGCTTTGTTTGCACGCTTCACAGCGCACAGTTTTAGTCGAAAATTAGTAGTTGTGCTTGCGATTTTCTTGAATTCCAGAATCGTGCACGCCACTGTATATACAGCAATAAACCTTTTTGAGTACTCATCGGGGGTAAAATCTAATCAGGGTTGATAATGAGAAGGAGCATGAATATTGCCGATTCAGAGTTGCACACAAATTTACTGTGGTATGAAAGGGAGCAACAACCATACTATGCCAGAGTGGCACAGGTAATTTTGTAAAAAACACTTTTCTTATAATTATAAGAGATAATTGCTATTTATTTTGCAATATTCCGATATCCAGCGGTAGCGAGAGGCAGTGGCATGTGAGCCTCACTAAAATCTAGTCATCATGTTGGAGCAGCTCCGGGTAATGGACCATTGAATGTGCTGGCTGAACTTATGACCACCATAACCTTCGGAGTCTCCAAGTAAATGCGTGTCCTGAGTTTATAGGGTAGCCATTCATAGCCTATTGTATGTGTGTATGATTCATATTTGTGACATGCTATACTTTGATGCTGAGTATTTTTGAGGAGCTCCGGGTAATGGTCGCTCAAACTTGGGTTTGCTTAATGAGCTCTCTGGGCGGATGCGCTAGCAGGCTTTGGAGTCTATAACTATGCAAACATTGTTTTGTTTTGGAATAAAGATTTAAATATATTCGGAAATTTAGAATTTTCCTTTATAAATTCACGTTTTTCATAAAAATAAAATCTTACAATGGATAGTTTATTGATTTTAAACTTACATTTATGAAAACTCCATTCAATGTTATAATTACGATTTGAGTTTCCAGTTTAAAGAAACACAAGCATTAATTATGTACTTTGCTATTGTTATTATTCTTAATTAAGCATTGATATTATATTTAACCTACATTTTGTTCATAAATAACACAATTATATATATTTTATCCTCGAAAAGAACTTTTTCTAATCATGAGGCGAAATTCCTCACAGTCAGTGTTGCCGTGCGCGAAAAACGAAAACGCTGCACATAACCCAAAAGTACTCCCTGGGGGACCAATTGGTGAAAAACGGCGAAAAGGTTTATTACTGTATACAGGGTGTCCCAGAAGTAACCTGCCTGCAGGTAAAAGTGTTACCGTTTTTAAAATATTTCCATCTTTTTTAATTAAAAAAAAATCGTGCCTTTTCATGTATTTTCCTTAACTGCATCTACAAACCAGGCTATACTTAGTAAATTTTTTATGTAAAATACTTCCAGATAGTTGCTTCTCCATACTCAAATGCCATGTAGTTAAAATATATTAAGGAACCATCATACAATTAGTAATATTTTGGGATTTTTAACTTTTTGATATTTTCCCCCCAACTTTGACTATCTCTGGTGAAAAAAGATGTATTGAGCTTTAACTTTACATTACATAAAAAATTACTCATTTAATAAGGATTTCATTTCATACTTTTTCGAATAGAAAAAAGTTATAGCCGCTTTTGTGGGCAAAGGACTGAGACACGCTAGAATGTATTTAATAGATTTAAATTTAAGTTGCTCTTGTTACCGACCAATGACATGCTAAATCATGGGCGTAGCTGCGTAGGGGCAGAGGGAGCTCGATGCCAATATAGCAACTCAGTTGCCAGCTTGCAGTTGCCATCTGTAAAACCATTTCAGCCAGTGGCCACCCAACTGAAGTTCGGTTGCCATATGCCTAAGTCGGCTCAGCTCGATGTTCTGGTCACATACATAAGTACCATTTCATGCTCATGAAAGGTATAGTTTTCAGATTTCAAATCGGTGAAGTAGGTAACAAAATATAAATTTAAACATTTTCTTAACTTCTTCCCAGCGTATCTATTAAAATGTCATTTTCAAAAATGTTATGCATTGCTATGCCATGTTATTCCATCTCAAACATACTGTTATAGCTACGGTGACCATCCGTCTTTTATTTCAAAGGACAGTCTTTTATTTTAACCCCCTGTCCTTTATATTTTTTTTTCAAAATAAAGGACGCGTTTTGTCCTTTATTTCTTAAACTGTCCTTTAAACCAGCTCTGCATTTTCAGAGGTAAATTTTTCAGAATATTAAAAATAAAAATGTTCCTTATAAAATATAATGAAAATCTTCGCCAGTTTGTTTCGCACCCCACTTAAGGGTTTTTATTTAATAGGTAATCTTTGCACAATATATAAAGCACAGGAAAAGTTGTGCACAGGATCGTGTTGCACGCTGAGTTTCCAGTTCCATTGAAAGAGAACAATAAACCCCCTGCTGCACAGTTGTCTAAAGTGGCATTTAGTGTTCGTAATTCACTGGAGCCTTAATTTTTTTCACTTAATTTGATAATTTTTTTTATTAAAGCTTATAATATTTACAAGATACCAGTTGAGCCTGATTTGTGAATTTTTATTTGATTATATTAAATTTTTTTGTGCAAAATGCTGAAAAAGTGGCAATTTTGAAGGAAATGGAGAATACATTAGTTAATAAATGTTACATAACAAAGACTAGTTAAAAACAATTTTATGGTTCCCCAAATCTAAAAAAATTACAAAAAATGTTTGAAATGTTATAAAAAAAGGTTCACAAAAAATATTTTTTTTTTGTTTTTAGTAAAAATTGGTTGAAAAATTTAGACTGCGGTGAATTACGAACATTAAATTCCAATTTTGAACCTCTGTGTGCTGACTTCGGTAAATGTATTTTGGCAGCAAAGTATGACGAAGTCCTTGAAAAGGATTTGGCTTAATTTTCCGGAATCGGTTAATTAACTGGTAAATATTTGATTTAAATTACGATATGGGTCAGGTAATTTTATCGTACAAGTTGTATGTACGTATTCCCAAATAATTTTGAAAAAAATGTCCTTTATTTTACATTGGTTAATATGGTCACCGTAGTTATATCATGCCATTGCTTCTTAGCTCAGCTGTTGTTTGCTGTTGTGTTTCTGCAGCATATTATTAATACTGTTTAATCCTGCCTTGTATGAAAATGAAAGTTCTAAAGAACAAGAAAAACAAAAATTTTATTTTTAAATAAAATTATTATTAGAAATGAAAAACATTAATTTTATTATTATTCTATTGTACGTAAGATAGATATAAAAGAAAATTCAAAAGATCCCATTGGCGAGATTTTCAAAATCTGGTTTTAAGCCAGTTAAAGCTGTTTGTAACCATTCTGTTAAATGCTGGATAGTCAATAGGCATGTTCGTTTAAAATCTCCAGTGAAAAATGTCCAGCAGCGAAATTCCGGCGAAATATCATCTGTTCTCTTACAAGAGAAAGATATCCAAAATAGTACGGGAACAGAAAATTTGCAGAAACTTGCTAGTTAGATGTACAGCTGATAAAAATTTTGTTTACATTAACAGGTCTATTCTGCACGTTACCGAAGATTTTGTGACCGGAAAATTTTATTACCAAAAAATTTTACCACTTCTTGTCACCGCGATTCTAGGTACGTTGGTAATGCAGTGAAAATATTCAGCAACTCAGCTATGAAAATTTGTGTATTGCATATTTCACGGGGCAATATTTTGTTACCAGCTTATGAGACGGTAACCAAATTACCGGTTACAAGAGAGCACAGAATGCGAAAAAGGTTTAAAAATTTACAAACACTTTAATTATCGGTTAGGTCGGCAAAAATCCTCTTAGCTATATCCTCCCCGCGGGTGCCGACTGGGCAATGGGCGTCGCTGCTGTCACCGCGATGGCTTAGCACCTAGGCTAGTACCTAGAGCGGGTCTTGGCGGTGCGAGCAGGCGGCGTCTAGCGAAAGCAGGAGTATGTATCCATCCTTCTCTTCCTAGTGCTATGCTCTGCTCTGCTCTGCATATGAAACTGGTGGAGGGGGGTGTATGCCTACTTCTGCCATTGCTAACGAGGTACCTGGCGGTAGGTATAAAACGCTAGGGGTAGAGGTTCCCTGACACAAAAACTCACCATGGAGGCTAGAAAAGAAGAAGAACGGGCTGGGATATCAGCCCAAACGTCGGTGGGAGAAGTGGCTACTATCACCGGCGGGCACAGCGATTCTACTCGCTGTGTCGCCAGCGGCCACACCTCTGGTGTGGAGGGAGCGGTTCACAGCGGTTGTAGTGCTACCGCCAAACCGACGCTACAGCGCATGGGTGCCACAGTCCACGAAGACTCGGACCTCGAAAGCGTTACCACCCAAGAGGAAGAAGCCCTGCTACGCTCTCCGGGGTATGCCAAAGGTGCTTGTTCGGCATCAAAGAAAAGGCCTAGGGCAAACCCCAGTAGGGAGGGGTTGAAGGCTAAAGCCATATACAAGGCGGCGGTCAAAGTCCACGAGAGACTTAGCTGCAAGTCCAACCGTACGAAGGAAGAGAAGGAAAGGTTGGCTTGTGCTAAGGGGAAAATGGAGGAAGGCCGGGCGTACTACGCAGCAAGGCCACGATTCAATGCCACGGACCCGGGATTCGCAAACCGGATCGAGGAAGGAATCGCGGCTAAAAGGCAGCGGTCTGCTGAAAGCGAGATAGCAAGGCCGTCCAAGAGATCGAAGCGCAAAGACGACGCTGCAAAGCCAAACGCCAGGCACGATCAAGAGAAAGCGACAACATCGAGAGCGACGGCAACGGCCAGTGAGATAGCCAGGAGACATCTAATCGTGGCACTCATAGACCGTAGCAATCCGCTGGCAGAAATGTCTCAGGAGCGCTGTGGAGCAGTGGAGGTAAAGCTGTTGGATGCGCTCGTCGAGAAAATGGATGGGGACCCTAACACGACCATGCCAACTTTCGATGGTGCGGGGTGGCTAAACGGGGTTAAAATACTAAAGTGCAAGGACGATCCAACTCTACTATGGGTAAAGGAAGCTGTCGCGACGCTTCAAGGCCTGTGGGAGGGCGCCGTCTTGTAGGTTGTGGACCGCAGCTGCATACCGTCCATACCGAAAGCGAAGGTGCTCATACCCCGCACGGTAAAGCCGGAGAATGCGCTGCGGCTTCTGCAGAGACAGAATCCAGACGTGCCGACGGGAGATTGGAGGGTGTTAAAGGTCACCAACTCCGGTAAGGAGGATGGCAGCCAAAACTACATCCTCCAAATAAATAAGCCGGACGAAGACATATTGTACGCTAGGTTCGGGAAGATAGCGTGGGGCGTAGGTAGCGTATACCTTCGCCTGAAGAAGCGAAACCTGGCCGATAAGAATGAGAACACGTTGGAGGAGCGAGAGGTTGAGGAGGATCTGGGAGAGATCCTGGAGGCCACCTTGAAACTCCAGGATACCAAGAAGGGTGAACCGGAGACTCTACCCGACCCCGAGAAGAATCCTGATCCTTGCAGTGAAGGTTCTTCAGATAAACTTGCATAAAAGCAAGGTCGGCTCTGCCGAGCTCCTCGTCAATTTAGAGAGGATCGGCTACGATGCGGCGTTAGTCCAGGAGCCATGGATAGCATCGGGAAACGTGGTATCTGGACTAAAGTCGCAAACATACTACACGCACATCCCGAGTGCAACAAATAAGGTAAGAACAGCTATACTGGTTAAGAAAAGTATACACTCTTATATTGATCTTAATTTCTCTTCAGACGACCTGACGGTGGTAGCTGTGAAGGATGGCAAGGATGACACAATACTCCTTGCATCTTGTTACATGCCTCACGACGAGGAGGCGCCACCAAACGGACTCCGGAGGTTGGTGGCAGAGGCCGAGAAGGCGAAACGTCCACTCGTCATAGGCGCGGATGACAATGCGCACAATACGGTATGGGGGAGTGGAGATACCAACGAAAGGGGTGAGTCTTTACTAAACTTTATCTTAACAAGTAATTTAGATATAGCCAACCGGGGTGAAGAACCAACTTATATTGGCCCTACCTCGAAGAACGTTCTTGATATAACACTCCACACTAGTGGGGGAATCGGAGTAGGAAACTGGGAGGTGCTTAGTACACCCTCGTTTTCTGACCATAGCTATGTAGGATTTGAGGTAGAATTCTCAGCCCGTACAAAAAGCGAAACTTTCAGAAATCCCAAGAATACGAACTGAGAATTGTATGAAAGGGTAGTGAGGAAGAATTTAAACAAGTATAGGGTAAGTGACTCCCACTCTGAATTGGAGGAACTGGTAGTCACACTTACCAACAATCTAAGCTTATCGCATCGCATTCCCTCCGTGATATGGAAGGCGAGGTTCAAAGCCACCTTGGTGGAACAGGGGGCTCGGAGCACTCAGAAGAAATGTCAGAGAACTCTTCAAACTGGCCAAGATAGCCGATGACGAGTTCTGCTGGATGGAATACAAAGATATACTTAAGGAATACAAGAAAGAGATTCGCAAATGCAAGCGGGAGTCGTGGAAGAGCTTCTGCGGTGAATTAGAAAAAACAACCGAGGTAGCCAGGCTAAGGAAATTGCTATCCAAGAACCCGACTACTCTAAGGTTGCTACGTAAAAAATGTGGAGAGTGGACTGGAAGCAGTGAGGACTCACTGGAAGACCTGGTCAGCACACATTTTCCGGGGTGTACAGACAGCATAGATCTACAATTTTTAGGGGATAGCATGGAAAATGTCCCCCCGGACATCATAACGGAAAAAAATACGGTGGGCTATCGATGGCTTCGAACCGTTTAAGTCCCCAGGCACAGACGGTATCTTTCCAGCCATGATGCAAAAAATTTCCGCAGTGCTGGCACCATACTTGAAAATAATATACAAGGGATGTTTAAGGTTAAACTATGTGCCTGTCCTGTGGAGAGAGGCGAGAGTCGTATTCATACCGAAGGCGGGCATAGGAAATCCCCTCTATTCGAAAAAATACAGACCAATTAGTCTAACCTCATTCCTTCTAAAGACGCTGGAAAAGATTCTGGACGCATATATTAAGGATAAGCTGCCGTCGGCCAGCATATCAAAGGCGCAGCATGCTTACACGAAGGGTAGATCCACTGAGACTGCACTTCACTCGCTAACCACGGAAATAGAAAGAACTCTGGAGCATGAGGAATATGCCCTAGGGGTAAATAAATAAATAAATAAATAAATAAATAAATTTAATAATGTCTCCTATGAGGCAATAGTGGAAAGTCTAGAAGCAGCTCAGGTAGAGTCTGCCATCCTACTATGGATAAAAAGCCTGCTGAGCTCCAGAAAGATTAACGCGGAGCGGAACGAAGCCAGACTGCTCAGACTAGCGCGTAGAGGAACTCCTCAGGGTGGCGTTCTGTCACCACTCCTGTGGCTACTCGTAGCGAATGAGCTTCTGGGGAAAATTCGAAGGGAAAGCACCCAGACTAATTGCCTATGCGGAAGCCATAGCTATAGTTGTTACGGGGAAATTCCTAGACACCATCAGTAACGTAATGGAAAGCGCTCTAAGGGTCGTACATCGATGGGCGACAACAGCAAACTTAGAGGTAAATGCTGACAAAACGGATGCGGTACTGTTCACAAGAAGGTACAAAATCCCCGCGTGGAAACCCCCGAGGCTCAACGGGGAGGATCTATCAATCAAGGATCACACCAAGTACCTGGGAGTGATATTGGACAGCAAACTGATGTGGAAGCTAAATGTAGAGGAAAGGGCGAGAAAGGCCAGTGGTGCCCTTCACGCATGTAAAAGGATGCTGGGTACCACATGGAGCCTATCCCCTGGCCTCATGCATTGGTGTTACAAAGCGGTAGTAAGGCCGATATTGCTCTACGGCGCTCTGGTATGGTGGACCGCTGCCAACAAAATCTCGTATAGAAAACCATTGGAGTGAGTACAGCGGCTCGCTGCTCTGTACATAACAGGAGCGCCAAGGACCACTCCAACGGCGGTACTTGAAAGGCAACTTGACCTACCGCCAATCGACATCGCAGTGGAGAGCACTGCAGCGAAATCCGCCTTGACATTGATGGCCTTAGGTGAATTCTCCGCTAGAACCATCGGGCACAGCTCGATATGCAGGGGGATGGAGGACAAAATTGACCACATACCCCCACGCTTCATCTGGGAAAGAAGGTTTAAAGCTACGTGTAAGGAGGGCGGATGGCGCATGACCAGGCGACCTGCCAGCGGAACGTATAACATCTATACGGATGGATCAAAAATGGGTGATGGAGTGGGCGCCGATCTAGACCTCAGGCAACCCTTCAAGCTTCCAGAGTACTGCGGTATCTTCCAGAGGGAAGTCTTCGCTATAGGGAAAGCTGCTGAGATTGCTAACAACGCAGGAAACTATATAAAGAATATCAACATATATGTCGATAGCCAGGCGGCGATTAAGGCTATAATCTCACATCGTATTTCGTCAGAAAATGTTCTTAGAAGCAGGGAAGCAGAAGGCAGGGTGGCCGAGGGTAAACGGCTGCATATATACTAGGTTCCAGGCCACAAGGGCATTTTAGGCAACGAAATAGCTGATGAAAGTCGCTAAAACGATCTATAATGAAATTTCCGAAAGAGGTGAATGCCGGATCCGGGTGAGATGGAACGCTTTAGCGACATGCAAAACCACCAAGATCATGTAGAATCGCTGCAAAGGAAACACCCATTTCTTGCTTACACGGTCACGCAGGGATTGCAGGACAGTTGTTGGCCTAATGACGGGCCACAACCTACTGGCATCCCATGCATGCAGAATGGGCATTACTAACAGTGACGCAAGCAGGAAGTGCAGGGAGGAAGGCATGAGTGAGACGTTAGAACACCTCCTCTCTATCTGTCCGGCCTTAGCTAGAACTCGCCTTACATATCTCGGAGTTTCGCAGTTCAAAGGACTAGAGGAGACTTCAAAACTGGATATTAGGGCTCTCTTGAACTTTGCAAAAAGCGTTGACGTCCTATACGACGACTACTTTAGATCGCAGTAAAACGGACCTCCATCTGGCACTACAAGGGACCAATGGGTCTATGTAAGGCGCATCAGCCGGCCAGTGTAACCTAACCTAACCTAATTATCGGTTATAAAATTTATGCTACCAGCGCAAAATAGACCAGCAAAAAGTAAAAAATTTAAAACGTAAGAAAACAAATCCTTAATTCTTATCCTGACACAGTTCACTGACTAAACGAATAATTACTTATTTCTTACAAGTTTAATTAGTCGCATTTTACTATTTCAACTTCCAAGCCATTAAATTCAATTTAGGGATTTACGTAAATTCCAAACAGCTCTTCTTGATCAGCTGCTTTCTTGTTAGCAAATATGTGTAATACGTATGAAATATGTATTTTAAAAAGTAAAAAGAGCAAAAATATTCTAAGTAAGGAGAAAGTAAAAAGAGCCGCACTTTGCTAAGCAAAGAGCCGCCTTTGGCTCAAAGAGCTACGTTCGCCCACCGTTGGTATATAGATTTTTAATTATGTAATTGTTTAATAAAATTTAATATAGTAGGGGCTTGCAAAATTCGGAAAATCTCTTCCCGTATATACAATGTAAATATTAATGCTGAATATGTCGCATGTGTTCCTTTTGTTGACATGCATAAATTTGATGCATGATTTGATTTGAATTTATTCGGCAATGTCTTCATATATCACTTTCAAACATGTATAAGCGACTTGATATAAACTGGCACTTGCATGTTGTGTTACATGTCGCTATGTTTTGTAGTTTAGGCCTTTAGTATCTATATATAATCGCTCAGTCATACGACTATATATCAGTTGCAGTTGACCGTGTTCGTCAAAAAAGTAAAAAGCGGCAGAAAAGTTGATAGTAAGTAATATAATCTATTGAAAAATATTAACCATATTTCCGTGGAATTGAGAAAACTTATTAGGTATTATTCATAGTTTTGAAATATATTTCACGAAAGCAAAAAATTAAAAATAGCTGAGATCGCTTTCTTTTTTAAACACCTAGGATATCACTGACCATTAAAAAGGACCCTGGATGACCCCAACCCTCAAAGTATTACACATTTTTGTATGTGATTTTTAAAATGAACGATCCAAAATCAGCCGGTATACATATTTAAAATGAAAGAAGAAAGAAATCCGTCTAATACGATGCAGGAATGGAGAGACGCCATACAACCTATCAATTTAAATTAAATAAGAATTGAAACACAAAAAATCAAAGACACACAGGACAGTTTTAATGAACTAAATTTAGCTATAACTAAACATTTAACGTCAAATGTAAATGAAAGATTAAACCACAGCACAATTGAATTATTTAACAACATTCACACAACAATCAACAAAATTAATAACATATTTGATAGCACTTTAATAACAAATAGTACAAATATTAGAAGATTGGGACACAACAACAACTTAACATAAACAACAATTATGAAAATACTACAACTGAATGTTCAGAGCTTGAAGAAACTAGGAAATAAGGAACTGTTAGAATTATTTTTACACAACAATAGCATCGACATCGCTATGCTTTCAGAGACATGGTTAAAGAATAACTACGACAGAAGTTTAGCTGAATATAACTTTGCATACCAGAACAGGAGCGACGGATCGAATGGAATCTACATTAAAAAAAAAACATAAAATTCTCAATATTTAATATACGCTCTGAAATAGAAAATATTGGAATTAAAACTTCAAACCTTAAGAAAAATATAAATATCATCAGTATATATGCACCGCCCA